TTTGGGGTAAAATTGGGAGTTCATAACCCACTTCAATCTAATGTATGAAATATGATATGTCAAGAGCTTTGTAATGTTGTGAACAACCAATAAAAAAAAATTTAAAAAAAAAAGAAGTTAGGCAGTTAGGAGAGAGTCCTTAACGGAAAAATAATTGTCCAGTGCCTTGATATTGGACTTCCTAACTTCCAGAACAGTGTCAAATAATCTGTATGTTTAAACCACAGCAACCTGAACCGACCAAAACAATAATGGAAATAGTTTTCAGGACTGTGGCACACATAAAAAGAAATATTTAACATAAATTTGTAAAACTTAACACCAACCTTAGAAAATAAGAAAAACAGAAAATGAATCAGTTAAGAATTTAAGCCCTAAATAATTCATCAAAAAATAATACAAGACTTGGAGTTGAAGGACAAACAAGTAAGGTAGGATGGAATGATCTAAACATCTTGAACATAGACTATTGTGCATTTTTAATGATTTTTTTTACCAGTACATTATACATATAAGTAATATTGGAGTTCATTTTGCTATAATCAGACAAGCATGAAATATAATTTTCTCTACTTCAGTATCCCATACTTCTTTCCCTTCCCCCCTCCATTCTCCTTCCTCTGTTCTACTCTTCCTTCTATTTATTTATAGTTTTCTTTTAAAAATTGGTGCCATATAGATATTCATAAAGGTGAAGTTCACTGTGGTATACTCATATATATACAAAGCATAATTTTGATGAGGATTGCAAAGATGTTGAAGAGATGTGACTAGGGTTAAGCTTCTTACTTATGATTTTATCATTGAAATATATTAAACACATTTAAATCTGATATTTTTTTCTAAAATGAGGGGGATAATATGTAACTCAAGAAGTATTGCTAACACAGTATAATATGTGTAAACTGCATAAGAAGTGCTTGATAACCAGAATTTGTTTAACGCTTTTTTAAAATGCAATGTTTTAAAAAAGTTCAAGAGTAAATCATAATGAAATTACAAAAAAAGGTATCTATCTACCTATTCATCTTATCTATTAACACTGAATGAACAATAAAGCAGAAAATTATAATAATTTGATAATATCAAGAAAAAGGAAGAGAAATAAAAATAAAGAATATTATAAATAACAAAAAGATAAAAATATGATACAATAAAATATTGACAGTTTTTTATAACTCTTTTTATTTTTATTTTTGCTAGTGGACATTGAACCTTGGGGTGCTTTACCACTGAACTACATCCCTAGCCCATTTTAATTTTTATTCTGAGACAGGGTCTTATTAAATTGCTTAGGGCCTTTTTAAATTGCTAAGATTGGCCTTGAACTTGCAATCCTCCTGCCTTCCTTGGGAAGTTTATAAGGTTCCCAAGTTTCCAGGATTACAGGCATGCACCATTCCACCTAGATTATAACCTATTTTAAAATATTAACAACTTACAAAAATCATTTTCTGTAAAGAAATGCATGATTAAACATGATTTTTTCTACTGCATTACTATAAAATTTTTATATTAAAATTTTAAAGTTTGGTGATATAATTAATTTTCAAAATTATTAGAGATTAACAAGAATTATTCAAGAAGAAAAGAATAACCTCAAGGATGCCATACCTACTAAACAAATTACATTATATACACACACACATGTAATGTAAAGAGTAAATTAGCCCAATTTTGTATAAAAATTATCTTGGGACCAACTAAACCTTAGTATTGCATTTAAATTATAAAACTTTAAATTAAAATTTTAAATGATTTTTCTTCATTAAAAAGCAAATCCTCAAAGCATAACCATTATGTCATTAATTCAAATATAAAAATTATAAAAATAATTATAAAAAATAATTATAGAAAATGGAATATCAAAAAATTTATTTCTTGATATAATCTTTCTTAATTTACTGGTATAATTTCTTTTAAATAAAATATACTATTTTTTTAAAAGGAAAATAGAATGTCCTGCAATTTAGAATTCAGCTTTTCCTTCATGTCACTGAAGTATACAAGCATCTTCTTTTTCTTTTTCTTTTTCTTTATTGTGTGTAACTGAAATCTTTTAACAAACAGAATGCTAAAATTTGTTATTTTTGTTCTTAACAACTTACAAAAATCATTTTCTGTAAAGAAATGCATGATTAAACATGATTTGTTTTCTACTGAATTACTATAAAAATTTAGGCAGTAGTTAAAAATATTTATGCTGTGTTGAAATCAGTGAAGAAAAAATAATTTCCATCAGTAAGAAGAAAGTGATAAAGTCTCTTCCTCATTCACACATGAAATATGATAATATGAAAAATCTAATCTTTTCTCTGAGATATTTTCAAGCTTGGTTAAACTATTTAATCTATTAAGTGATGGAAACATAATTTTATTATACCAAACTTTATAACCTTGGTGAGGCATAATTTTTTTCATTCTCAATTGACATACATTCGTCAATATCAAAGATAGACTTAAAGGAACTCAAGTACTTATGAATAGTAGATTAAATGGAAATAATGAAGTTTGTATTGTTTCTGATCTATCTGCTCTATAAGTAGTTTATAGACTGTGGAGGTCTCTTTGTGTGTGTGTGTGTGTGTGTGTGTGTGTGTGTACATACATAAATATATATTATACACTGTAAAGGGTACATTAAACCAATTTTTTTGTGAAAAAAAATTTTGTGGGACCTAGTATTTTTTAAGTAATTTTTAAGGTTGCAATCTTTTAAATGCAAATGTTTTAAATGATTTTTTCTTTAATTAAGAAAATTATTCCTCAAAGTATAGGGGCAATTAACTTTGAAAAAACATCAACACATTTCTAAACACTCACATCTTCCTTTAAGCAATTTGCTGTCTCATCATCACTCTGTTGTTTGAGCTCTAATGTATCATTTACTCATTGCAAAGATTCTTTATATGTAAGTTTCTTAGCAATCACTTTTGACTCTCACAATTTTTAATCCATTGCACTTTCATAGAAAATCCTCATGCCTGTAGGGAAAGCAAGGAATGAGAGATGGGTAAGTGAGAAATGAAAGGGGGCGGCCAGGCAGAGATATACAGGGGAGTTTCTTTGTCAGAGTTGACAAATAAAGGCCATCTCTCTATAGAGCAGAGAGAGAGGAGTGGAGAGAGGGAAAACAGATTTGAGTTGGGGGCTTTTGTGGGGCAGGCTCAGATTCAGAGCTGAGTGGGTCCTCATGTGGATGGTTAGGGGTTGGGTTGGTATGAGGAAGTGGTAAGCCTTTCTCGGAAAAGCCATTGGGCAGGACAGCAAAACTTTTTTCTTAACATGGTGGCTGTCACAGCCATCCAGATGCTAAGCAAGGACCTTAGAGTGCCTGTATAAACTCAACAGTTTACCTTTCTTGAACCTGCCAACAAGCAAAGGAACAAACTTTTTCTGTGAAGGGCCAATTTGTTTTGTCATTATTCAGTTCTGCATTAGTAGCACAGAAGCAGCCATCGATAATAAGTAAAAAGCAGATGGTATAACAGCGGTCCACTTTATGCTTTGAATATAGCCCTTGCTGCTCTCTGCCACTGCAACTGATTTTTTAAATGGAAATGTTTCTTTCTCTTCCTCTCTTGCTGCTTCCTTCCCCATTTTAGGCAGATTTATCTCTCCTGGAGTACACCATAGGAAGGAAGTTCCACCACAGGAAGGAAGTAATCTGGACTTTGGGGATGACACCAGAAGATCTCAGCAATGACTGTCTCCGAAATTAACAACTGAATTACAACTACAACAGAGAACCCATGGAATGTAGCCTTTGAAGCACCCTTTAAAAGCTGATCAGTAGAATCACAGCTTTTGGGACAGGAGTCCCCTGTGTTTCTCCTTTGCTAGCAAAGCAATAAACTTTCTTATTCCTTTTTTTTTCTCAAAATTGTGTCCTCATTACTGAATTGGCACTGGGAACAAGGACCAATCTTTCAGCAACAATAGTAAATAAAGAACATGGCTGGGTTCCAATAAAAATGTTTATAAAAACTGGCAAAGTGACAAAATTTGTCAATTTCTTTCCTAAAGCATTGTTTAGTAAAAATTTTTTTTTGTGGGGGGGCTCTGATCAAAGAACAAGTGCAATTAGAGGAGGAAAAGTTTGGTTTGAGGCTTACAGTTTCAGAGGTCTCAGTCCATAGAAGGCTGACTCCATTCCTTAGGGCCCACATGAGGCAGAAGTTCATGGCAGAGGAGTGTAGCAGAGGAAATTGGCTGAGGAGGTGATAATCAGAAAGCAGAGATAGCTCTGCTCAATAAGGACAAAATATATACCACACAGGCATGCCTCCAGGGACTCATCTCCTCCAGCAACATCCTACCTGCCTGAAATTACCATATAGTTAAATCTCTTATCAGAGGATTGATGCACTGATTTGGTTAAGACTCTTGTAACCTAATCATTATCATCTTTAAATCTTCTTGCATTGTCTCACAGGTGAACTTTTGGGAAACACCTCATATCTAGACCACAACAAGAAATAAATTAAAACAAAAAAATTCAAATTTTGCCTTTCATTTAGATGTAGCAAGACACAAGAAACTGCACACCTTGGAGGATAGAATGGGAGGGGAAAACCGTTTATCGGTGTATGTGTTATGTGTGTACATCTTCAATCAGTGGAGTTCAATATTTCCTGCATAGTAGAAAGCCCAGGAAAACTTTCAACGAATTAGATTTTTTTTTAATCTGATGTCCAGGCTACAGAGAGATGAATTAAATCAGAATATGTTGATTTTTTACCCCATACCAATATTTTAGATCCAACATGTAGAACAGATTAGATATCACTTCTTTAGCTGTAGCTTATTGAGAAGTGTCAAACACCATAAACACATTAGCACCTTGATGTCACTAGGAGCACTTAGATTCATTGGCAGTGTTCTTCTAGGTTTTATATCAACTAATTTGTTTTGGCCACTGCTTTGGCTCTGTTCCGTGAATCCATCTAGCTCACCTCTTTGGCAATTTATTTTTAAAATATTTATCACATTTGAACTGAAAACATTTCTTTTGTAAGATATGAAATATTTCTGCTAGGTTCACACTCTATTAAACTAAGTAAAAAGCCCTCTGCCCTCACACCTTGCTATAGCTAATCAATGAAAGGTAAGTCAGCTCTTACCCTTAATCAGCGAGTGCATGTGTCACTAGGTATGAGTGTGTAAAGTGAATGATGGGTAGGTAATTATCCTTTCTGGTAAGAAATTGCTGATCAATCATTTCCAATGTTCCCTTATTATTACTGTTTTTAGGTACAAATATTGGTGGAAACAGCTTCAGCCTCATGAGAGGACTCAACAAAATTGAATTTCACTTTTTTCCATAGGACCAGGGTGAATGGAATGGACAAATTGGCATTGTAGGAGTGCTTAGGCTGGGATGACCTCTACGTGGCTTGAGCAATTGGCTCTGGAGTACTTCTAATCAGAGTATTTATATAATACCATTCACAGAAGCACTGAGGACACTCTCACTGTTCACTTTGAAACCTGGGGGTTGCTAGAAGACATGCTAAGGGCAGTTTGAACATTGATTTTAGTTAGGGGGTAAAGATGTTCCATTTTTCACAAAACTAATATATTCTTTCTATGGATGATAATGACAAACTCAGTACTGCAGAGAGTATACAGAACTGAGCCTACCTGAATGGAGTGTGAGGAGGTTCATGCTGCCTGTGATCAGTTTGTTTCCGTGATAGCTTTTGGTTAAAACTCATGACTTTTACACAATCTGGAAAAATCAATACTTTCTGCTATACTATTCTGTGACCCACACTTTATTCAAATTCCCATACTTTGGGGCCTTGGCTTTTTTTTTTTTTTAAATTTTTATTGTTGGTTGTTGAAAACATTACATAGTTCTTGACATATCATATTTCATGGCTTTATACTCTTCCTTGGATTCTGAATATAAGAAAACAGTGCAGAACATGCAGGTCTATGGCCCTGGTGAGTTTTGGGACATCCTTTCTAGTTAAAGGATGTTCTGGATAGTTAGAGAATGTCACCATTTATTTTCTTTTCAGAAGATTGTCATCTCACATTCTATTTTATTGTTTGCTTATGCTGCAATCAACTTTTGGTTTTATCTACTAGTTATAAGCTATTTTCTTAATATATTAATGTTTTTATTTTTCATTATCAATTTTATTGACCAAACTTTCTTAGGTTCTGTTATTGTATGCTTTCTGGTTTCTTAAACTGAGTGTTTAGTTAATTTATGTTCACTTTACAAAGCTGAAAAATTTCCTCTGAACTGCTCTAGTTGTATCCCCAAATGTCTCAATAATGTTACCTATAATTTCTGTTTTGTTTTTAACTTCTTTGAACTTAAGTAAGAGGAAACATTTTAAATTATCTTATCTGTGCTTCTGAAATTATCATAAATCATAAACAGTACAAACACTGTTCTGTGGCTGTAACAAAATAAAGCTAGACAACAGCAAAAAAAGAAAAATCAAGGCAAAGACATAGACCAAAATCCATCCTTTTGTCCCCTTTTCTACAAACCAGAATAAAAATGTAAAATATAAATAAAATATTATGAATATTCTTATGATTCAATTGTAAACAACCTTAAAATACCTTTAAAAGCAAAGAAAACTTACTTTAACATAAAAGAAAATGGGAAAAAATACTTGTTAGTTTCTATATCACTATCTATATGACTTGTTTCAACCAATAGTTTGTGAAATGGGTGTGGTGTCAAATGCCTGTAATACCAGTGACTGGGAAGCTGATGCAGTAGGATTATAAATTCAAGGCCAACCTCAGCAAGTTAATGAGACCCTGTCTCAAAAAAAAAAAAAAAAAAAAAAAAGCTGAGAATGTAGCTCAGTGGTAAAGCGCCCTTGAATTCAATCCCCAGTACCTACTTACTGAATGTCAAAAAAATATTTTTTGTTATGGGCCAGGATACAAGGGCAATGACTAAATAGACTCAATTTTGCCCTGAGACTCCCTATCATGTAAGAAATGCTTCTTTCACTGGGACATCCCACCTCTGTAACCATCAACAGTTGCTTAGCATAGCATGTTTGGCAACAGAAATGGAAATTCTTTTACATTATAAAATTGTTCTGTTTTTGGTTCCCATTTTTCTTGTACAAATGTATCCTATTAGAGAATTATTGCTTGGAAATTGGTAACCGTTCTTTAACTTGTACTCAACTAGGGATGTTTTGACTCACTGCCCCTTCTGCTTATGATTTTAGATCTCATGATGTTTGTTTATGGTTTTGAATCATAGCAGCAGTCACTTATACTTAATTTGGTTTTGGACTATAAAGGTGTGCTGTAACCCTTGGAGGGGGTCGAAGGGTGAAGATATGCAGGCTGCCCCTTGACCCACCATATGGTGGATCCAGACCACCAGCTGGTGAATAAAGTTTCTGTCTCCTACTTTAAGATCGACTCGGTGATTTATTGCAATCTTGTCATAACAGCTCCATATATCAAAGCACCAATACCACTTCTTTTAGTTCTGAGAAAGTAAGGGAATGAAAGGCAGAATTCAAAGGCATATAACTAATATTTTAATCATTAAAATTAAAAAGCTCAGAGAAAATGTTGAGTACAATTTACATATAACTATTATGGGACAAATTCAACTGAATAATATTTTTAGAAGTTGAACAAAATATCATACCATTCATTAAGAAAACAAAGTAATAAATAACAAGTAGAAACTCATTAAGAAAAACATTTGGAAATAATGTAAAATGTTGTGAATTATTTTCAGTGATGTAAATAGAAATATGAATTAAAAGAATATAGAATATTAAAGGAGAATTGAACTAGAAAAACAAATGGGATTAAGAAATAAACACTTTGGGAGCTGGGGTTATAGCTCAGCAGTAGAACATTTGCCATGCACATGTGAGGCATTGGGTTTGATCCTTAGCACCACATAAAAATAAATAAAATAAACAAAGTAAAGATATATTATCTTTTAAAAAATCTTTAAAAAATGTGCTAAAAAATAAACATTTTAAGAGATCCTGAAAGTATTTAGCTAAGAGAGTTAAAGAATTTTACACAATACCTTAAATATGACTTAGTAAAATCTGTGCTGATTGGAGTGATTCATTATACAATGAAATCAGGTGTCTGTCTGCCATCAGGTGTCTGTTTGCCAAAAGATATTTTAAAAGTAATATAATTAAGTTCCTCTTAGAGGCAATAAAATAGGAAAAAATGCCATAAAAATAAGAAAAAGAGAAACATGAATTATGAGAAATCTTATTTATGAAATCCTAGCTTAGAACTGAAAAAAAAATTCTTATTTCATTAACGAAAAAGTCTTGTATAATGCTGGATGTCCAAGAAAAAGAAAGGTAGCAAAGTGCTTAAATTTTATGTCTTTTAATCCTTATACTACCAAAACAAGGAGCCCTTAAGTAAGATCATCTTATCTGGAAAAGCATTTATTTTTTTCCAGATAAGTACTAAATATTTATAAAATCTTGTACAAGTTAATATTATATGATAATATATACCTATGTGTTTCTTTCTTTAGCCTCTGATATTGGTGAGATGCTAGCTTTTAAAATTAAATTAGAATGATTTATGACTATAGATTAAGGAAATAAATTTTTTATTTATAGATGTAGTGATGATTAGCTTGGAAAACACATTTCTGCTTAGTAAGAAATTTTAGTCATGGCAAATTCACTGCTTTAAGAAAAGCCTAGATGGCTTCCATTTCTATTCTCCTGTTCAGAACTGATGTTTGACAGTTAATTTTCCCCATGGTCTTGCATATGATAGCTTAGGGACCAAGCTTCTGCCCACAACAGCACTCTGTTTTGCTCTTGGATTTTGAGTTCTCTGTTAGCCTTTACATCAGGTTGGCAGAAAGACAATATGTAAGATTCTGCAGGTAGTTTTCATGGATAAGGCCAGGAATATATAACATTACTTCTGCCTAACTCCAAGGTAGGACTTTGTGTGTGAGTGTGTGTGTGTGTGTGTGTGTGTGTGTGTGTGTGTGTGTGCAGGCCCTTGAGCTTGGCAGCTGGAACATTATTTCTGTGTACTCAGGAAGACTAC